ATATCTATCTCATGTTTTCACAAGTTCTTTTTAAAAAAAAATTATCCAAACAAAACTTTAAAGAAGAGAACAAAAACAACTTTTAGCTATGAATTTACTACCAACCAATGTTTTAAAACTCGCATCAGACCTAGTTCTAGAGTGGAAGAACCCCAAAACTCGAATTAGGTTGAAAATTGACTTAAATTACAAAAATTAAAAGAACTGCCGATTCAACCGGAAAAGTGGTGACCCAATTTTGAATTGACCCACAGGTTGGAAAATACGACCCAGCGATTGAAAAATCTTTAATTTTTTTTCTTTATTTTTCTTCTTTTCTTTCTTTCTTATATATATATATATATATATATATTTCAAAATTTTGACTAAAAACTCGTACTTCAATAGTCTCCTCTCATGAGGAGTCTCATTAAAAGCTTGAGAAGATTATGCCTCCGTTTGGGAAGTGGGTTGGCTTTTTTAGCTATTTTAGCCTAGGCTAAAAAGTTTGGTTTGGGAAGGATTTTTTGATTTTTTGGCTTTTTTAAATTTTTTTGTGAGAGAATAATGTAATGATTATGGATTGGATGTCATATTTTGTTTTTTATGGCTAAAATAGCATATTTTGTCTTTTGTGACTAAAATAGTAAAAAAAGCCCCGTTTAGCTATAGAAAAATATTTTTGAAAAAGAACCTACAAAATTCTATATAAGATTCAATCAAATTATTTGAATCATATTGATTGGAGAGAGAGTTGAAAATTTCATTTTCCTCCAAAATTAAATCTAGCATTCTATCAATTTGTTTGGAAGGAATGTTAAAAAAAATTAATTTCTTTAAAATAAACGACATTTTCTTATCAGTTATGACTTTATTAAATATTATTAATAAATACTATGCAACAATTTTTATTTTTATTTGAGTATTTATATGTATTTTTATTTATTTATAATTTATAATTATATATTTTAATTTTATAATATTAATTATGACGTCACGGTTCGACTGCTTTGACTCGACAGTTGAACCGATGACCCGTCCACTCGATCCCTTTTCCAGTTTGCTCACTAGTCTGATTTTCAAAACATTGTTACCAACATAAAAATAAATAAATAAATAAAATACATAATAAAAGAAAACAAGCCTAACCCAACAAAGTTTCTATAATGTTGGGAGTAAATAATTGGAGCACTTTCATGTGGGTTCTATTAAGTTGATTTATTATTCAATAGGTCATATGATAATTAATGATATTTTTATCATATATTATTAAAAAATATTACTAATTATTAATTTTTAGTAATAGTTTAAAAATTTTGTCACAAAAAATGTCACTAATTATAAATTTTAGCGACAACTTAAAAAAATATCACAAAAAAGTGTCACCAATTTTCAACTTTTAGCAATAATTTAAAAAATTTGTCATAAAAAAGTCACTAATTGTAAGTTTTAATGACAATATATAAAAACCATGATAAACAAAAGTCACTAATTGTTAGTTTTATCAATATATGTAAAAAATTGTCACAAAAAATAATTTTTAATAACAATTGTACTAAGGCTCATTTTCAATAGGATTTGATGGAAATTAAGTCTAACTATTAGGACTTATTGATAGTTTACCCTAAATAATTAACGATTTGACTTCTTTCAAATTGTCATCTCAATTTAAGAGAACGTTTGGGCTTGGTAAGCCCATTTTGGAATTGATCCCAATAATTTGAATCGTTCACTTTTTAGGACTGGTTGAGTAGAATATTTATATAAAAAAATAAAATAATTGAATATCGATAGCTATATATTTGAATTATATTTGTTTTAAAAAATAGTCGACAAATATAATTTTTAAAATAACCATCTATTTTTTTGTAATATAAATTTGATCAAAACATATAGTTACTGATGTTTGATCATCTTTATTTTTTACATAAATATTCTATTTAACGAATCTTAAAAAATGAACGGTTCAAATTATTGAAATAGAATATATCGTGAGCTCAATGGAGCTTCAAATACTTTCATATTGAAATGCTAACATGAAATACACCTAACCCAATAATTAACTAATCTTTCTTTTGGCAATATTTGATCCCTTGACTTGCAAAAAGAGTATACAAGATTTTATACGGAAAAATATTTGAGATAAATTTTAAACCACATAATTGTGGATAAATTTATAGATTTAAAACTATAAATAACCTTCCTCATTTAAATTACGCTTTAATTATTTGTGACTTGAAAAGACAAGGAAAGAATTTCAAAATGATAAAATTATTGTAAAACTTCAAAAAAGCATCTCCAATTTATATGCCAAATTTTGATATGTCAAACAAAATTAAAGATTTGAGTGACAAATTGACATATGCCAATTTGATATGTCTTAAACCTCTCCAACATATATGTCAATTTTTTTTTTTAAAATTTTATTATTAAAAGATGAATTTAAATATTATTATCTTATTTCTAAAAAAGTACCATAATTAAATATTTGACATGTCAGATTTGGTATGCTCTCAACCTTTGCCAAATACAAATGGGCAGAACAAAAATTTGAGGTGAAATTTGATTGTTGGTGTGCCACCTAGGATTTGACATATAGATTAGAGATGTTTCGTAATTTGGCATATAGGCTAACTTTTAATATGCTGTTTCATTGTTACCTAAAAAATTGTGGAGACTTTTAATTTAAAATCCTTTAAAATAAAAATGAAACAAAAAAATATAATTAAACAAGTAATATAATTAAAAAAGAACTTTTTTCAATCATATAATTGGAAAAAAATATTCTTGGAATTTTTACCACTTTCATTTAATTAATATCCTAACAATAAATGCTAATAGAAAAAAATTATTGATAAAATGTTTAGGGGTAAATTACATTTACCTCCCCTAAGATTTCTGACAAATACAGGACCTCCCCTGCGGTTTGAATAATTACAGTAACCTCTCCTACTTTACCTGACAATGCCAAAATTCTCCCATTTTTTAACTGCCGTTCACACTACTAACAGAAATTGATGATGTCATCAAAGATAAATAGTGAAATACCCATAATGCTCTCAAGTGTCTTGAAACACTCTATGAGTTGGGTAACATGAGATTGAATCTACCCTTTTTTTAATTTATTTTTTATTTTTTATTCCTCTTATGCTTCCTTCCTTTTTACTTTTTTGACCAACACAACACAATCATGCTTCCTTCCTTTTAACGTTTGACCAAGAGAGCACAATCACCGACCAACTCTCTTCTTCATCTCTTCTTACCCTTCTCAAAGACAACCAAATCAAAACTTGCAGTAGTCCATTTGGCTTCATAAGCAATCAGATTAAACACACAAATAATGTTAGAATGTTAATTACAGAAACACAATATTCAGATAAAATTATTTCATCTGGATTTTTATTTGATTTGAGATTTATTTCTTTGCTCTGGATTTAAGCTTTAATGAGATTTTTTGTATTGAATCTTTGTTTCAGGTTTCAGTCAAGTCTTTGGAAGATTTGGATAGTGATATAGATTTGTGATTATTTTTTAATTGGAATTTGGGTTTATTTTTTTGGTGTGATTTGGTTTTAAATTAGAAAGGATGAGAGTGGGCAACAAATAAGAGAATGAAAAACTAAAACAGAGGGAGCAGATGAATTTTGATTGGAGAGCATGAAAGAGAGAAGAAAAGAAATGGTCATCCATGGAGAAAAAGAGGAAATAGAAGAAAGAGTAAGATGATAGGAGAACAAGGTGAGTTTTTTTCCCCCCTCTTTTTGTTTCCATTTCCATCTTCTGGTTCAACTTCTACCACTCACTGCCCCAATGTCTCACTCTTCCTTCCATATCTTTTTTTTGCCCTCAAACCCTCCACATACACCACTGCCTCTCTCTATCTCCCCCATTTGCCGACAAACCTTTTTGTTTCAACCTCCATCTTCACTTTCTCTGTTCTTAACCTCTAATAAGCAACATCGAAATCAAGACAAACACTTCTATATCTACAGCCATAGTGATCAAGAACTCCATGGACGCCGGTGCCACCTCCCTTAAAGACTAATCACCATGAACTCCTACAACGACGAACATTAAGACGATAAGACCTGGTGGTGTACGTTGATCGGCAAGACCAGCAAGATCAAGATCGACATTATTGAGAATCTGCCTTCGGCATCTCTCTCTGTCTCTCTTTGGCATTGTCGTCTCGTTCTGTGCTCCTCATGGGTTTGGTGTCTCGATTTTCTACTTGTTGAGATATAGTAGCGTATACAGTTGGGGCAATGAAGATTTGTGGTGATTGGGGGTTACGAAGTTAAAGGTTGGTGGCAATGGAGAGTCGAATGAGGTAGAGGGAAAAGGTAGAAATTGGGTGTAGTGAAGGAGAAATACAGAGGTAAAGGAGATGAAGATGGATAATTATCAAATAGAATGAGGTTCATGATAAGGTTGTATGAGGAAGTGAACAAAGGGTCTTTTGTCTTTTTGCGCTCAAATGAAGGAATAATATGGTCATTTTGTATAGGCAACTAACATTGTTTGTACAAAATTGACAAAATGAGGGAATCTTGACATTGTCAGGTAAAGCAGGGAAAATTACTGTAATTATTCAAACTACAGGGGAGATCCCTGTATTTGTCAGAAATCTCAGGGGAGGTAAATGTAATTTACCCAATGTTTATTGTTTGAGGACCTAAATAAAATAGCTTGAAGCAATCGTTTCCAAAGGTTAAAAAAACATGTTTTCTTATTCTACAGCACAACCAATTATTTTAAAAAAATACAGTTCTCAAAGACTCCAAATAAATCCAAATTTTATTGACGAAAAAACAGAGGAACATAGATAATGCATTAAAAAAATAATGTATAAAAAAACAAATAATTAGAGGTACAGAAGACCATTAGGGTTTGGGCCGGGCTGATGGTCCGACTAAAACAAAAGGTAAAGTAGACCTTCTACTACGGTTTGGGCCGGGCTGGTGGTCCGTACCAATAAATAAATAAATAAATAACGCATTAAAGATACAGAGTTCATCCAAACACTGTTTAACGTTTCCTTACCACCGCCAAAATCGTCCGCGAGAGTGAGAGAGAGAGAGCGCGCGCCACAAGAAGCTCTGCTCTGGCAAAGCGTCCAAGTTGTGCGAGTGCTCAACGGCTCCGAAGTTGTAGGGTTGTCTAAAAATGTCACCTCCTCCACAAACCAAACGACACTCTCGCACACAGACCAAACTCTCAGCACCCACATTCAACGACCACTTCAACGCTCCGCTCATGCTCCTCCTCCTCCTCCTCTTCCGCGTCCATCTCATCGTCCGTCCACTCTCCGGCGTATCTTCTCCTCAACTCCATCCCCAATCTCTGATTCTGCAGTTTCAATGGAAGATTGGGATCGGAGTGTTTATTGTCTCCAAAGAATATCAAAATCCATGTAGTTGAGCTTTTCTCGTCAATCAAAAATGGTATGTCAAGTTTTTGGATTCATATTTTGCATAATTAGGCAATGCGGATCCAAATGTTCGTTTGATTTGATAAGTTTCTATTGTTAGTTTATAGGATCTGTAATTTTACTTCCTTGCGATTGAAAATTCATTGTCGGCCAATTGATTGTGTTTGAATTTTGTTATGCATTCGAGTGGAAACGCCAATCTGAAAAGGAAAACACTATAGATTGAAAAGAAATAGATTAACTCATAAAATGAGAAATAGATGCACTGAGGAGCTGACTGCCTTGAACTTGCACGCAGAGTGAAGATATTGTATTTCGAGATAATCTGGTGAAGATGTGCTCTTGTAAGTATATCCATTGAAATTCCAAAGGGAAAAACCAGTTAGAACAACAAAGTTACTTTACATCATGCATTTAGTAGCTTTAGGATATAAGAGCCTCTACAGGATTTTGTTGCAGTATGCATACTCTTAACTCTTCTTACATTACTCATTCACACAATAATGATAGCGTGCGTACTTCTACAAGATTATTTGATCCCATGTTTGGAGGTTGGTGAGTTGTGATGTCTCTTGGAAAGGTTACATAAGATTGCAACACATAGTGGGCGTTAAGGATGGTGCATTGAGATGGGTGATGTTCATGTTGGGGTGTTCAGGTAAAATCTTTCTATGGGTTTTGGGTGGATCATCAAGGTACATCTCTCTATTCACCTTCAAAGGTAGGCTTATTTGTTTCAATGGTTTGGGTGCAACCTCGGTCTGTGTTGGGTGTTATAGAGTTGGGGTGGAGCTAAGGTTGGGAAGAGGCGTCGGAAGGCTTGGTTGCTTGCTTCCCATTGTTTGCTTTGATTGATTTGGTTGGAGCGTAATAGTCGAGTCTTCTGGGATGTGTGTTAGTTAGTTCCTTGGTTAGAGAATAGGCTTTTGTTGGTATTGCACAGTTGGGTTACGAGTTCGGTTGATCCTAATGTTTTGGTTTTTGTAAATTTTGTAAAGGATTTGATTAGTTAGTTTTGTTGGGCCCGTTTGTGGGTTGTTTTTTTTGGTATTCTTTGCATCGTCTTGATGCTTTTCTACTAAAGTTCTATTATTTACGAAAAAAGAAAAAAGGTAGCTTATGTATAACTATTGGTAATTTGATGCTCAAATGCCACATTTGGTATTGGTGTTGTATGTGCAAGTGCAAACCGAAGTCAGTTAACCACCTATTTATTAATTTTCATATGGCTAGAGAGCTTTAAGAGATGATTTTGGTCATGTTTAGGGTGAATTGCATTTTTTCCTAGAGGATGGTGGACACTAATTTTTTTTTTTTTGGATAACTGATGGTGGACATTCATTGTTGAAGAGGAGGAGAGTTGTAAAGAGAAGAATGAAGGCTTTAAACATTGGCATGTTTGTGTGTGATGTGGATAATTTGGGGAGAGCAGAAGCATTGGTCTTTATAGGGTATAAAGGAATCTCTTTTTTTTATCTAGAGAAGATTTTTTACTGTTCTACGTTTTGAGTGGGGATTGGTGAAGGAAAATGAAATAATAAGGGAAAAGTGAATGAAATATGAATTAATCCCCCCCACCACACCACTTTTTCATTATTTTTTTTCTTTCCTCCCAAAATTTCCTTCTCAAATCTGTGATCTAAACACAACCTTAATTGAGTAGTTTTTTCAAGTAGAAAGTGGTGTATAGGATCCTATGTTGTTTTCTTGTTTTAGTTGTGGAAGTTGTATATAGGCAACACTACCTCTTGGTTCCTTTTCGTCAATAAATTGTCACTTGTATAAAATAAAAACAAAATACACATGATCAACATAATATAAAAATGAAATATAAAGTAAAAATTAAATTGATAATGAATTTGCTAGATACCTCAAATTGTCTGCATTGATTGACTCAGTACACATATAAGGTTACAATATGTCAATATTGTTAATGATATCTATGGATAATAAATGACTCAATACCACCTTGTGGTGTCTTTCAGTAACTAGACCCAAGCATGCTACCAGGAAGAAGTCATTGTAGATAGCCACCTAATGAACTCAAATCTCTCAAGCTTTTGGAATAGGGGTTTTGATGCGTTTATTTTGGTTGTATACTAATGCCAGTGTAGGTAGATGTCATGATCTGTTGGTAAATAGCCTTTGGTGCATTCATTTGGGCTGTTTACTTGTGTAGTGCCATTAGATGTCTGGAGATGTTGGTGGATATATTGACATTTTAGATATCAACTTAAATAAACGGAACACCAATGCAGATTGGCTGCGTGGATATATATTGGTAGACATTTAAAAACTGCATGGATATATATTTGGAAAATTGTAAGAGTAGCACTTATAGAAGATAAGTCTAGAGAGAATAGGTTAAGATAGTTGGTCAAGTACAACGATGATGTATAGATGCAATGGTAAGGAAGAGTGATATGATCACCATAAATGGAGATGTTAGAGGGAGGGGAAGACCTAATCTAATATGGTATGCAGTAGTAGAAAAACATATGAATTTATTTTATTTAATCGAGCATATAGCCCTTGATAGATCAAAATGGTGAAAACACATTCATGTAGCTGACCCCACTTGATTGGGACACAATACTTAGTTTGGTTTGGTCCTTACCTATTTCTCTGCCGTTTATATATATATGCGTGAAGTGTACATGTATGTTTTTTATTGATACATCTTACAAATGGAACGTGGTTACATATACAGAATCTTCTATGTCCTGTTTGCTATTAGAATTTTATTTTCCCTCCGTACAAATTTGAGATCTTAAGCTTTGATAATCTTTTGAATTTCACATGCAGGGCACTCCAGTGAATATCATTGTAGGTTCTCATGTTTGGGTTGAAGATCCAGATGAAGCTTGGATTGATGGACAAGTGTCAAATATTAACGGGCAGGAAGTTGAGATCCAAACTCGTAATGACAAGACGGTAAAAATATTACATCAACTGGACATTAGTTATTGTATCAATGTGATGCATTTCTAGAAACTGAAGTTCATAGTTCTGCCTGCATAACCTAGGTCCAAATTTTTATGTGCTGATCAAATTTTAGACTTCAATTTTATCACAAAACTTCTTTAAATTTGGGAATTTCTGTTTTGATTGGAATTGATGTAGGAGGACTTTATTTGCTGCCTGGTTGCTGCAGTAGGTGCCTGAATACCTTTTGTGGATCTCTAGCAACAAACAGAAAACCCTGGTAAAAGGAAAAGAAAACAAAAAGAAACAAATGGATTCTAGGGTTTGAGAGCTCCTAAAATGACTTAGCATGCTAATTATGGGAAAACTAACCAGAATGGGCACCTGAAAGTGTTACGGAAGGGTTAAAGAAATTTGTTTCCCCTTAAGCTTTCTAACCCCAGCCCTTGATACTATTCAAGAAACTATGTGAAAATCGCATGACTGTATTAAAAAAGACTTGGACCTTAATAAGTCTATGAAACTAATCACAGACATGAAAATTTAGAGCTACATATATCAATAAAGCTGAACTTTTGAGAAAACAAGTCTAAACTAACTGGTGGTCCTGCAGCTTTGCTTGAATTCAATGCTCCTCCATAACATATGTAATCAAATCATGTCAGTTGTTTTATTTTTGTTACCAGTGGAAAACGTTTCTTCAGATTAGAAGGCGTAATTCAGGTGTGAAGAGGATTTTTTTTCTTCATAAATTTATTTCAAGTCCACAAATGGGGCAACAGAAGTTTTACACAAATTTCATTAATAAAATATATTTATCACATGGAATCCTGAAGAAAAAAAAAATTAGTAAAACATTTTCCAGGAACTGACTTCTGTAGAAACAAACAGGTCCTTTGGGAAAGATATGCATGTATCACAGGGATATGAATATATCTAGTAAGGTTTTGTATAGTTGGGTGAAGGGTTTGGTGGATCTTGACGTTTTGACTTTTGTTGATTTTGTGGAAGATTTGTTTAGTTAGTTTTGCACCTGGTGTGGGGTGTTGGTTTTCCATTTGTATTATTTGCATTGCCTTGATACTTTCTTAATAAAGTTTGATTATTTATCAAATATATATATATATATAGCTAATAATACTTGAAACAGTTAAAAAGAGGTTTAATATTATGGTAAAGATAGCAACTTCACTTGCTTCAAATAATCATAAATCAATGAGGAATACAAGATGAAACTGGGAAGAGAAACCTACAGTTTGGTAGCTGTATCTGCATTGTCAGATACTTAAATTATACTGATGACTTAAAATGTTAAATTAGTAGTCATTTTTACTCTGAAGATTTCTGAAAATTGTATACTTCCAGGGTTTTGTTATTTATTTATTTATTTATTCTGTTTGCATAAATTCACTCTCTGGAAGATTTCCAACTGCTTATATTGTAAATGAATTAGTTCATTTCTTCCAAAGTACGCTGTTTGTGTTGTTCATTTTTTCTTTGTTCATACAGGGATGTCTGGTTTTTAATTTTGAAAGTCAATCAGTTGTGTTAGACAAAATTTTACTATACTGTAGATCATATGCTTATCTTGGTTGATGAAGGGTACTTTTGGCCCTCGCATGTATTCCTCAGTTTTTCACGACTTTTTGCACTGTCTTATTCATCTTGTTCTAATAAATAACCACCTTCTATAAGAGTTCATTTGCCAACCCCTGTAATTGGTTGGAAAAAGGTATCACTTTGGATGTATCCTTAATTTTTCAAGTGAAATAATAAATACCCGTGCAGCTTGAGGTTTACATTGTAAATGAATACCTATGTTAATTTTGTAATTTGGCTACCTTCATCTACTTGAAACTTCTCTTCTACTTCCTATGGTCAGGTTGTTGCAAAGATATCGCAAATTTATCCGAAGGACATGGAAGTTTCTCCTGGTGGAGTTGATGACATGACTAAGCTATCATATTTGCATGCGCCTGGAGTTCTACAGAATTTGTCGACTAGATATCAGCTCAACGAAATCTATGTATGACTATCTTCACCTTTAGTTTATATTATTAGTTATTTAATGTTCATGTTGGTGAGAGAAAGCAATGAATTAATGCAGCTGTGGGCGGCTCTGTCATAATATTATGTCCTAATCTGACATTATCACAGACTTATTCTGGAAGTATTCTTATCGCCGTTAATCCATTCCAAAGACTTCCTCATATGTATGATGATCACATGATGGAACGATACAAGGGAGCACCATTTGGACAACTGAGTCCTCATGTTTTTGCAATTGCTGACGTTGCTTTTAGGTGACCTTGTACTTTGTTTAAATTCTGTAGAGTTTGTTCTTAAAGCATGTTTCAACTGGTCTACTAAATTGCTTGAAATGAACCAGGGAAATGATCTATGAGGGCAAAAGCAACTCCATTCTGGTCAGTGGCGAAAGTGGGGCTGGTAAGACAGAAACTACCAAGATGCTTATGCGCTACCTTGCCTATTTGGGTGGCCGTAAAGGCACTGAAGGAAGGACAGTTGAGCAGCAAGTTCTAGAAGTAAGATGCATGATCTAACTCTAGTTTCATGCTTATTATTGTTTAACTCGTCAATGGGGCTAGTGCTGGTAAGGATCATGTAAAGTCCTTGAGGCTACCATTTGAAGTTCGAATTCTGCAACAGGGGCTATATATCTAATAAGACAGATACATAGAATTGATGCCCATCATGGGTACTAGTTTTTGTTGTGGTCATCTTCAAGATAGGTGTGATGGTACTCTGAATGTGGACACCAAATGCAACACAAAATATTATCAATGTCCTTCCTATTGACATCATGCTTCAGTTGGAGGTGCACTTGCGATTATCATGTCTTACAGACATTTCTTACTTCAAAATTAACGTTAAATTAATAGAATTTAGAGTTGTATTATTCATTTTGTTTTTGTCCACATTTCAATTAGCATTTTTGATAGATGGACTTACATTAGTAAAAGGAGAAAACATATCCGTGTGAGCTATGTTAAGAATTAACCCTTCCTAACCAAGATCGGTGAGACACGAAATAACAAACAAGAAAGAAAATAATGAATTAAACAAATCATACACACAAGAACACACGGATTTATGTGGTTCACTCCAGAATAGGTTACGTCCACGGCTGTTGTAGTTTTCACTATGATCAAAAAAATACAACTTTCTCTTAACCTAAAAGAGACGCCCCATCATCTATTTATAAGTATAAAATTAGGGTTACACGGAAGCACATAAGAATTTCGAAAGTACCCTCCTGGATCCTTTTCCCTCTTGGGAGGAGGCCCCTTAAACCCTCTATTGGACCCAGTGTTTGAGTGAACAGTAGGGTTGAATAACCAATACTTATCAGGGTCCACCGACCCAACAAGGGTGAGTGAACAGTACTAATTAAGGTCCACCGACCCAACAAGCTAGAGGGTCAATCAACATCATAACCTAGGCCTATAGCAAAATAATGAGATCCAAGCTCCACAAGAGATAAATAAATGAACACTTCTAAAATAAGCGACCATTTCAGGAACTGATCTGTTCTTCACATTGCCTTTGCTTAGATTATATGAGGAATTTGTCACATTTCAGTCTGGACTGTTATGTGGCTTTGAGAGGCCCTTTTCCAGAAAATATGATATTGGAAATTCTGTACCCTACAAAGCCAACAACTAATGAACTTTCATGATGTATTTGCTTTACTTTTTGCAGTCCTCTATCTGCTATTCTGCTTAATAGAAATTTCCTCATAGTATGAAAGGGGGAAATACATAAGGAGAGAATTGGCAAATTCAGAATCTTGCTTATTAGATGGAGGATGCTGGATGGAATTAATCCGTTTCCTCAACATCAGACATGCATTATGAGGAACCTTTTAATGTACTTGGATCTTTTTTCTGGAAATAATTCTGAAAGCAGATGATGCAGGATGCAAACCTGCCGACTTGAGATTTTGTGTTTCTGAAATCATCAACTTCTTAATATTAATATGCATGATGTGATTTGCAGAAAATTTATGGCTTCTGTATGGATATCTTTTGTGGATTTGTAATTGATATACTGGTCTATCAAATGCAGTCAAATCCAGTTCTTGAAGCATTTGGCAATGCAAAAACTGTTCGAAATAACAATTCCAGGTGAAATCTCTTAGTCATTCTATGAACCTGCACTCTTTCACATACATAGAAAAATGGTGCATTTTTCGAAATGTTGTTCTTAATAATACTAACTTGATTTTAATTATTGGTGCAGCCGCTTTGGTAAATTTGTTGAGCTTCAATTTGATAAGCATGGAAAAATTTCAGGAGCAGCCATCAGAACTTATCTTCTTGAGAGATCTCGTGTTTGCCAAATTTCAGACACAGAACGCAACTATCATTGCTTTTACCTTCTTTGTGCAGCACCACCAGAGGTAGGTTTTTCGCCAGATGTTCTTTCATATTTCAGATCCCTTGATGAAGGTCTCTTAAATTTATAGTCAATACATGCTTTTAATAGTTTCCAAATCTCGTCAGGAAATTGAGAAATATAAGTTAGGAAGTCCTAAAACGTTTCGCTATCTGAATCAATCAAATTGCTATGAACTTGTTGGTGTAAGTGATGCTCATGATTATCTCGCCACTAGGAGAGCCATGGATATTGTTGGAGTCAGTCAGCTAGAACAGGTATTGCCTTGGATCCAAAAATATTTTTGCTGCATCCATTTTAGCTCAATAGAGTAAAATTGGGAATAACTTCTCTGTTTCTCTTAGGATGCAATTTTCAGAGTTGTGGCTGCAATTCTTCATCTAGGTAACATTGAGTTTGCCAAGGGAATAGAAATTGATTCATCTATTCTGAAAGATGACAAATCAAAATTTCATCTCCAAACAACAGCAGAACTTCTCATGTGAGACTAGATCATTGACATTTTCATGGTTTGATATCTTCCTTTTGGTGGTTGATCCTGTACAAGTTAGTTTAATTCGTGTTTCAGGTGTGATGCTGTTGCACTTGAAGATGCACTACTAAAGCGAGTAATGATCACCCCAGAAGAAGTTATTAAGAGAACTCTTGATCCTGTTGGTGCAACATTTAGCAGGGATGGCTTGGCTAAGACAATGTATTCCCGCTTGTTTGACTGGTAAGATAAGATTGTTTGGATTATTGCTTTCACTCATATGGTTGTTTCTCAGGAGGTTTCTTGTTGCTGGGAATAACAAAAAAGTTTTTTTGAGGTGCTGATATGATGCTAAGGCTGCCTAATTTTTATTATATTCAGGTTGGTTGATAAAATTAATGTTTCAATTGGGCAAGATCCTAACTCGAAATCTTTGATTGGGGTTCTCGACATCTATGGTTTTGAAAGCTTTAAGACTAATAGGTAAGGGTCAGTATTTAGAGAAGTATGATCTGATAGTGAAATTAGCTATTCAATTATTTTGACTGAAGGTTTTATACATTCATGGGCACAGTTTTGAGCAATTTTGTATTAATTTCACAAATGAGAAGCTGCAGCAACATTTCAACCAGGTAAATGTTCATATTATTTTATAATATATTCAAATCCACTTTCTCAACTTACTGTTGAAGGTTGTGGTGTCATTCAGCATGTGTTCAAGATGGAGCAAGAAGAGTACATAGAAGAGGAGATCGACTGGAGCTACATAGAATTTGTTGACAATCAAGATGTCTTGGATCTTATCGAAAAGGTTCCCTTCTTTAATCTAGTCCCTTGGCTTGGCATTCAATGAACTCATGTACTCTTGTTTTGTAAGATATATTTCTGCTCTGGACCTAGTCTATAGGCAAGGAACTTTACATAGGGTATCACTGCTTGCCTTAAAAGGACTTAAGCAGGAATTCATCCAGTTCTAGTGTTTCCAAAGACACCAGCCTAGTGGGCGACAACTTGGCCACAAGGGCCATTCTTCATTTAATTGGTAGGACACAATAAAATATATTTGTATGTAGAAATGTTGAAATCTAGGCTATTTTCTTTTTGGATATATTTTGGCAGATGCATATTACAATACTTGTCATTATTATCTGAAACTGAATAAGAAAATGAATAAGGTTCAACCGTTATTAAAGATGAACGGAATGCATTTGCCAGATAAAGAGCAAATTGTTTATCCAACAAAGGGAGCTTGCCGGTAACATGAACCTTTCCTTCACACTGAAACAGGTTTTCTAGTACCATATGTAAAGCCCTTCTCAAAAGTATAAAGCAGCTGTTTGGTGTAGCTTCTTATACTTGAAAGTCCTTCGTGTAAAAGGACTTTGTAGGAAGAACTTCATTTATGAAAAGATGTATGTTTGGTGAATGGTTTGTTTGGAAGTCCTTTGATGTTAGTCTAATTTAAAACAACCAAACATCATGTTTGTGGGGCCCAACATTTAAGATGAATATCAAACATGACCTTGATGTCTATTTATATATACATGTAAATATATATTTCTAAATTAACAAACGTATATTGTAATGTACAGAAAAAGTCAAAAGATATGAAACTAACAATAAGGATATTAGGGGTATTACTGGCAGTTTATTACACAATAAGGATAGTATGGAGAATACAAAATTTTCACTTAATCTCACCAAACATACCAAAAATAAAAAATAAAAAATAATAATAATAACAATAACAATAAATAAATAAAATAAAAGGACTTCTATTGTCTGAAAAGAAGTCCCCCCTAACTCCATTCTCTTGCAGTCACCCCGGTATGATAGCCTTGAATGACGGGGAGATAATCGCTATAATAAGAGGACTGATTTGATTCCAAACTGTAGTAGGAGCACTGACATGAATGAATTATGGCAAGCAGTTTTGCAACCTTTGAGTGCTTTAACTACAACTTTCTTCTACTATGTTGTTGACCAAGAAAGTTGTGAAGTCACTTTTAAGAAGCATATTACATAAAAATACTTTAATTGCTTTGTATTTTAAGATGAGGTGGAAATCCATTCTCCCTTCTATTTAGGATTTTTTGTACCTTTACATTAGATCCTTGGAGGGTTTTACAGAATCTGATTGTAGAATTTAATCGAGGATCATAATATTCTAATGAAAAAGAAAAATTACATAATAATTTAATTTGAATAAACATTTCTTAAAAAATATACACAAAATAAGCCTAAATTATACTAAAAAGAAGTGGAGATATTATGAAAAATATAATGGTTAGTGTAAAATGTAAATACAATATTATACAATAGATTTTTTTTTTTCTTTTGCATTTCGTAAAAAAATAAGGTGGAGAAGAAGCATTTTATAACAGAACACTTGGCACTCTTCAACAATGTATAAAAAGAGAAGGAAAAGTATTTAATAAAGTTGGATTGGAAAATCGATTGAAAATTTAAAAGAGTGATTCCAACTATAAGGCTTGTCGTTAGCATCACTAGTAGTGCAAGTTTGAGTCACGGAAACAACCTCTCTAGAAATAAGGGTAATGTATACATCTTGCCCTCCTAGACCCTGCTTAGGCTGAGTTTGTTCTTTTGATGAGTTAGTTTTATGAATTACTGCAATTATTGCAATATTTGAATGTCTATTTCTCTAGTTTGTTTTTCTTAATCTATTTGATTCAGTCACTTATTCTTTATTCATTTGGACCATATAAAATTAATATTTATGCTACAAACGTAAGCGTTATAAAAAAATAACCCATATAATATGAAACAAGGCTTACAAATTAGATTGGTTAGGATCAGATTGGGATTCTATGATTCTATAAGATCTAACTCTCAGGATCGAAAGATCCTACCTTTAAGGAATTTTCTAGACGATCATAATATCTTGATCGAAATTTTGATAGCCATGTTTGTACCAGAAAAGTATATTTTAGTTTCAGATAAGTGCGTGTATGTCCTTACTAACATCATTTGGGAAAATGAAAATTTGGTAAATTTAGTGAACATAGATAATCCCAATAAGCAAAATAATCGTATACGACTTTATGATATATGCCCGACAGCGTGCCTTGTTTGAAGCTTTTTATCCTTTTGCTGATATAGTCATATTATGTATTCTTTGTTTGAGGTTTTTATCATATGGATACTATCCCAAGGTAGACATTTTCTCTATAGTACAAATCCTTACAATAGCAGATTGCCATATAAGGATTCATGTTCACATACTTATAATTTAGGTACTAGAATGATTACGTTGAAGTTCATTGATCAGTGTATCAATCTTTAAGTAACTTTATTTATTCATATTGCTTTTGTAGAAACCTGGAGGGATCATTGCTTTGCTTGATGAAGCCTGGTAAGAAAACTTTTCTTCATTATGCATGCATGTATATATGTTATGTGTATGTTTGTATGCTAGGAATCATGGACATGCCTCGTAGGGTCACCATGTCCATGTTTTACATGTGCAGGATATTGGTATTTCTTAGATACATGGTTTGGCTACACGCGTCGGACATGCATCCAAAAGTGTGTTTTATTGTTTATTATTTAAATAATAATGATAAAATTCATATGCATTGGACATGAGGGGGACACTTGGATCTACCCCCAAGACACACGTGAGACACATCCAAGATCTTGGTGCAAGTTTGAAAAAATATTATTCACCTTGCTTGGTTTCCAGTTTTCGAAAACACTTTTCAGAAAATTCTACTTTCTTATTTTCCGTGTTTTTTTGTTTATACTGAATTTTTTTAATATTTTAAGCAATTTTTTTACTTTTTAGACACACCTAACATAAATACACCTAAAAAGTAAAAAAATTGTAAAAAAAATCTTTTAAAAATTCACTAAATACCAAAAATACAAAAAAAAATACAAGAATTCAGTACATTTTTTGTATTTTTATGTATTTATTAATTTTTTAAAATATTTTTTCACAAATTTTTTACTTTTTAGATACATCTAAGTAAGGTGCATCTAAAAAAGTAAAAAAAATGTATAAAATTTAAAAAATATTCACTAACAACAAAAAAACACAAAAACCAAAAAAGTCAATTTTCAAAAAACTTAATCCAGAAAACTCAAACCAAACACAGTGATTGTTGCCCAATATTAAAGGGAAAAAGATGGATTTATACATTTTTATCTCTCCTCCGCTAGGCCTTTTTGATTTTTGAAACCCTAAAACCTAGCTGCTTCCAAATTATTTGTTAATGCTTAGGCTTCATAAAGGAGAGATTAGCATTGTTCTCTCTTCTTTTCCAACATATAAATGTAGAAAATGGAACATAATTTGTAATCATTTTCATATAATAAATATACATTTGTTTTTCATGCGAAAATGAATTGTTTGTTATTACTTTGCCATGTATAGAAATACACTTCTTTATAATTATGTCTCTTCCAGTCATAATTTTTGGAAATTGAAATGCCAACATGTCATTATATTCTTCTCATGTCCCATGTCCATAGTTTGTGTGTGTATATATATATATATATTAATATTTGCATGTGTTTACATATTCATGCATGTATATGTCTGGTGTGCATGCACATGTATGCATAAGTTTATTATGCTTCTTGTTTGTCAAAGCTGAACTGACCTTTTCATCTGTTTATCGTATGGACTTTTCTGTTTCCAGCATGTTTCCAAAGTCAACTCATGAAACATTTTCACAAAAGCTTTATCAGACATTCAAACTTCACAAGCGTTTTATCAAGCCAAAATTATCTCTCACAGATTTCACCATTGCTCATTATGCTGGAGAGGTGAGTTAGATTCCAGTCTTTCTATGTTTTTCGTAGTTCAATGAAATGTGCTTAGCACGGGCTGGTGTTAAGCGGGAAAAACAAAATATATATGTGGGTTTGCTGTTGCATTAAAGCATTTTCATTCTTTTCTTTTTAGGTGGTATATCAATCTGACCAGTTTCTAGACAAAAACAAAGACTATGTTGTCCCTGAACATCAAGATTTGTTGTGTTCTTCCAAATGTTCTTTTGTAGCAGGCTTGTTCCCTCCACTTCCACAGGAAACAACTAAATCTTCTTCCAAGACTTCTAAGTTCTCATCTATTGGTTCTCGTTTTAAGGTGTCTTATCTTATATTGTCTATCTTACGGTTCCTGAGGATTTTCCTCTATAAATTGGTTATTGAAATGTAAATTTAATAAGGCTATGCCATATATCATCAAGAATTTGACACATACTTTCTGCTATAAGATGTTTAAATTGATGTTTTAATTCAATTCATGCAGCTACAACTTCAGCAACTAATGGAAACACTAAATTCTACAGAGCCCCACTACATTAGATGTGTGAAGCCAAATAATCTCCTTAAACCGGCAATCTTTGAGAATGTCAACATCATGCAACAACTACGCTGTGGTGTGAGTACAATCTTGAATTTGGTAATGTACTTACTCTATGAATATTATATTTAAAACTTGTGTATTTCATGCTTGTTTTTGTCAATGTAGGGTGTTCTAGAGGCAATTAGAATCAGTTGTGCTGGATACCCTGCTCGTAAGACATTCTTTGAATTTCTAAATCGATTTGGCCTTCTTGCTCCTGACATTTTGGAAGGGAAGTAAGTATTAGTTGATGTTCTAAACTGATAGAGATTGTAGTATTTGCTTAAAACATTGGGGTGCTCAGTCAACTTGGAAGCTCAGACTGAGTTTATCATTTAACATGGATAGAATCTTATATCTAAACTTGTTTCATGTATGAGCAGTAATGATGAAAAGGTCGCATGCGAAAAGATTTTGGACAGGATGGGTCTTACAGGTTTTCAGGTAGTATAAAGTTGCATTTACATATTGATAAGCTGGTTATTTTGTGTGAACCAAAAACTTCAATCATAACAATCTCAGATTGTTTGTTTACTCCTGGTTTGCATATTGGCCTTGGCTAAATGCTTGCAGTTTATATAAAATAGGTGTTAGGAAACTTCTAATCTGATATTGATGTATGATTAGAATTGAGGTGTTAAAGGATTTTTTAGGCTAATTTAAGTGTGAGGTGGTTAAAACATTCAGGACTGTTAAATTTGAGAGGTATCCTTGTTAGGCATACACCTCGTGGGTTAAGTTTTAATCAAAAATTTACTGTTACCACTTGTGCACGCTATGATCTCGAGCTATATCTCATTTGGCCATCTTTGATTATATATACACATTTTTTGTTCTTTTTTGAAGCAATTAACTGTACTTTTATTGTAACAATTTTAAACTATCTTTCCCTTTTATTGTACTTACTTTTAGAACTCAGTTATGTTTCTTTGTTGAATTATGTTCTGGTACAGGTTATTTTCATTTTATTTAATTTGGATCAGATGTTAATAATGCCTTATTGTTATCTGTGCTATAGTGCTGCATAGAATTGTTTAAACACATATGTTCATCTTTCAGATAAGAATTTTAAAACATATATTCAAGTCATCGCCTTTTTTTTTTTTTTTTTTTTATTTTGAAACAATAAAAAAATAGATAACTTCTTTTGCCTTGTGTTCTTGTGTCTCTACGGCACCGGGGGGAAGGGAGCAGGGTTTATGTTGTTGTGCTTCATGCTTTCTCCTTAGGTTGCTTTATATATATAGCTAAAAAAAGGGTGTAATATCATTATGGCTTCTTGGTTTATATTCGCTTCATGCTTTCTCCTTAGGTTGCTTTATATATATAGCTAAAAAAAGGGTGTAATATCATTATGGCTTCTTGGTTTATATTCATCTGCTTTCTATATTCCTCTTAAATTAAGTTTGTAAATGGTTTTGCAGGTAGGAAAAACAAAGGTTTTCTTAAGAGCCGGTCAGATGGCTGAGCTAGATGCACTGAGAGCAGAAAAACGTAACATTGCAGCAAAGACTATTCAAAAGCAGAGTAGAACTCATATTACTCGCAAACAGTTCATTGCTTTGCGGAAGGCTACTATATGCATACAATGTATATGGAGAGGTGTGTCAGCAAATCTTTGAGCCATGAAATCTTTCCCTTGCTAGAAGTACTGCCTTTTCCTGAAAGCATGTTCCCGAATGTATCAGCTGATGCACTTATTGGAAGGATATTTATCTTCTTCTTCATACATGTAGTTTGTTGTTAATTTTATTCATTTCTCTTTTATTTCCTTGCACGATTGGACTTAGCTGCCTATTTTCTTGTTTTTTCATATATTATATATAAAGATCCACTATTTTTTTATTTGATTACGACTTTTAGGAAGACTTGCGCGCAAATTATATGAGAACATGAAAAGGGAGGCAGCTGCTCTTAAGATTCAGACAGATTTGCGTAGGCACTTGTCCAGATGGTCCTATATCAGTCTTAAGTTCTCAGTGCTTGTCATGCAGACGGGTTTGCGGGCTATGGCTGCTCGTAATCAATTCAGATGTAGAAAGCAGGCAAAGGCGTCAATTATTATTCAGGTTATTGAATAGTTGGTTCTGTATTGCTTGAAAGATTTAGCTTGATGCACATTATGTTTCCAAAGTGTGACTTTTACTTAAAAAGAAAGAGAAAAAAAAAAACTGCAGGCCCATTGGCGTGGTCATAGAGATTTTTCGTACTACAAGAAACTCAAGTGGGCATCAATTTTTACACAATGCAGATGGAGGGGGAGAATAGCCAGGAGAGAGCTTCGAAAACTAAAGATGGTAAGTAGCAGTGTTCTCATGCTATTGAAGTTGTACAACATGCACCTTGTCATTCTCTCAATTTCTGGGGCATCAGTGACAAACTACAAAGTTGTAAGAATAAGATATGATCAGATTGGTAAGGCCTATACACTGCTTAGAGCATGAGAGCACGATTAATTAATTTGGGGACATTTGAAGTGGCAATGATGAGCATCCATGCATTCTTAAGGCATCCATGTGATATATTTGTGATAAATGAAATCACAATAATTTTTGTCATAGGCATTCTCACTTAACAGGTAGACATTCTTGTTGGACACCAAAACTAGAGTTATCCATACATCTACACACTCACACAGACACACACCGACACACTGGCACACACCTAATTTAGTCAGGGTGTAGTCTGTGTGTTTATAGAGCATAGAAGTTAATAAATGGTATTGTTCCTACATGTCAGTGTAGAAGTTTGTATATCTAGCAATTCTCTAATATTTGAGTGCAAATGCAATATTTTTCAGGCCTCAAGAGAAACAGGGGCACTCATAGAAGCAAAGGACAAGCTGGAGAAACAGGTGGAAGAACTCACATGGCGTTTGCAGTTGGAAAAACGTTTGAGGGTAATATATATATATATATGTTATGCAAATGTTAAGTACTATAACTTCAGCAGGACATGTAAAATTTGATCTATGACTTTTTTATGATGAGCATATAATCTGACTTCGGAAACCTCCTAAAAAGAAAAAGAGCTGTAACCCGAATATGTCTGTTCTACAGAAGTAAGCACTGCAGAAGTTTTCTCTACTGCTTAATAACTTCCATTTCCAATAGCTTGGACTGTGGTGATTATGCTATTTAACAGAAGTCATGCTACATGTTTTTTTGGCTTCCAACTAAAGTTTAAAATCACATGCACAGATTGATTTGGAAGAGGCAAAAGGGCAGGAGATTGCAAAGTTGCAAAACTCATTGCAAGCTATGCAAAGCAAAGTTGATGAAACTAATGCATTGCTTGTTAAGGAATGTGAGGCTTCACGGAAGGCATTTGGAGACGCATTATTTGTTGTCAAAGAAGCTCCACCGCTTGTCCAAGATACTGAGAAGTTTGAGACTCTGGCTACAGAAGTGGAAAACTTGAAGGTTTAGCTCGTCACATATTTTTCCCCTTTCTTTTTCTTTCTTGTTGGTTGCCTTAAGCGCTACCTTTTTCAAGTGTGTCATCATTTCTTTGCACAGCAATGAAGAGAAGCTGAGAAATTGATATCCCAGAGGGAGTGAAATTGAAAAACAAAAAGTTATAGAAAGCGATAAAGACTAAAGAATTTGAGGTCAACTGCAAATTATTTTTTTGTAAATATAAACAAATTTGAGTTAATTTTTTCCACGTAATCTCATGGAATAGGGATTCATATGTTTGAGAGGTTCCATTCCAGTAGAAGATTCCTACAAGTAAGGTTGAACGATCATTTTGCGAAATGAGATTGTTTTATTTGCACAATGAGTTTTCTGTTTTAGCTTGTCCATTGTGTTGGCATGTCTCTCGTTACATACACAAATCTTCTCCTTCTTGTTGTTGTTAATAGTTATTCAGTATTATTTTTTAGTTTATGAAACCTTATCTAGCTTCTTCCAATTCTATTTCCTTAATATTTACCCTGGTTTTATGTTGCTTAGGCTTTATTGCAATCGGAGAAACAACGAGCCGATGATTCTGAAAGAAAATGTGCAGAAGCCCGTGAATCAAATGAAGAAATGCGTAAGAAGTTGGAAGAAACTGAAAGAAGAGTTCATCAACTTCAGGAATCTTTGAACAGGTAGCATTAGTGCATAAACTCTTTAGGTTGATATATATTCACAGTTTTGAAGCTTTGAAATTGGATATACAATTCATCAAAGTGCACATGAGCAAGATATATCAAAATGTTAGGTCAAATTAGGTACTTTATTGGTTACCATCAAGGATTCTGCCTTTATGTGGTTAAAATGGCATTATTTTCTTCTTTGATCTGATATCTATGAGATCCAAATGCTTCAAAATTTCTTTTGAGGTCTGTTTGAGCGACTGTATCCCTTCCATTCTTCTTCAGACTTTACAAAAGGGAAGGTATATTTTTTTTTTTTCTCTATGTGAGGAGTATTGTTGGTTGTTCCAATAATGTAGTTCTTGAGATTTCAAGTTTTATGGTTGTAAGTTGCTTGGTATATGTAATTGTAATCATAGTGGCAATATTGAATAGACTTAGTTTCCTATGGCTGGAGTTCACATTTTGATTCATTGGTAATGGAAATACCCTAACATTTTTTCTGTTCTTGTACTGATGTAAGATCAACCACCTGATTTACATATACCTGAAAGGTCAATGCAGAACTTGCTGACATTATGAAAGAAAATAGCAATTACAAGTTCTAAAAACACCAGAGGACAGTTCAGCTTTCCACAGTTCTCATGCTGGGGGGAATTCTTAAGAGTGGATTTGAGGTGGGAGCAATCCAAGAAGCTTCCTTATGAATCTCCCATTTGTAGATGAGATTATTGCAATTTATGGATTTAGATGGGCCAAGTGACACATTGAAGGTGTATCTTTTTGTGTTTTCAGATGGTGTTTTTGTAACGTGTAAATGTTAGAAAGAGTGAGTTGATTCCAAGAGGGGAACCGACAAATTTGGCAAGTCCTTTTTTGCTATCTATTTGGAGAGGAATGAGGGAGGAAATTAGAATTATTTGATAGATCGGGAAGTGTTGTGTTGTACGTATCACATACACGAACACTTTACCAACACTAACACGCTGACACGTCAATTTTCAAAAGTGCAGGACACTACATCTGGGACATTTTAAAAATTTATATTTTTATAAATATATTATGTTAAATATGTGAATAGTTTATTTTTATAAATATGCTATGGCTTCCGACCACCTTAGCTCTGATACCTTGTGACATAATACAATGTAAAGAGAGAAAGATGCCATATTATTGTATATTATCCTTAACACCTACAATACGAAATTAATTAACAAATTAATGCTAATTAAATAGAGAGGAACCCTAATGACTAAAAATAACAAAAGTACAAAAATACTTCTAAACAAAATATGACATATGAAAACATCCAAGAGAATCTTTTTCACAAGTTCTGCTAAGTATTTTTTGGTAATCTGATAACTGCAAGGTCTGAGATTCTACTTTTGGCAACAAGATGGTAAAATTGTTCATACTTTTATTTTTTATCCATTTGACTATTCATGTTTTTATCTGAAGGCAGATTTGTTTGTATTTTCTAACACTTGACAGATTAGTGCATTGAATTTCATCTATTAGTCAAATTAATTCATATGGAGTGAACTTTGGTGGGATTGTTGCAAGGAAATTCTAGCAATGAAGTTGTGCTTCTACATAGATAGGTTTCAAATTAACAATCATGTACTACTGCATAAATTAGTAGCTTGGTGGCATGTCTGAAAATATGTCTCTCTGTATGTCTTGTGGGGTTATGGGAACATAACCTTTTTAAAGTAAATTTAGTGTGCTTGGGATAGCAATAGTGCAATTTCAGTGAAACCTTTTCTTTGATCTCTTTATGTTTTGCTTGTGGTCTTTTGTTTCCCCATACTTCTAAATTTTATCATTGCTTTTGTTGATGAAGAAATCAATAATTGCACATTTTCCTACATTTGGTCACTGGAGAATATATATTTTGAGTTAGGTCCGTATGTTTCATCTCTATTCTGGGATCAAGTTTGTAAATTCAGTCAAATGGAAAGATGCAGGAAAGAAAACAAAGAAACAAATCAACAAGAAAATGTAAAGAAGGATAGTGAAGAAAATGTGGAGTGTTAGGAGAAACAAACTATTTCAAACCATCTAGATACTTGAGATAGATATTTTAATTAATTTGTCAGAGTTCATTTGACTAATACTAGATATGATCTAGTGTGTCTCAGGATGGTATACTGCATATCGGACCAAGTCTCAGAGCTGAAAATGATCTTGTCTACCTCGTCCAACTCGAGTTCAACTTCTGGATTCAATGCTAGAGATGATCGGATTGATGCATTGTCCGTTTCCTCTGATACTACATCCACCGACTCTGATTTTACTTTTCCAGCTCCTGCTTCAACTCCAGCAAACTTTTCTTCCCTCCATCCCCATGCTTTCCAGCTGATAGTTCAGGATCTTTCAGCGGCTGAAGTCTCAGGTCAGTCTAGTTTTCTTAGTGTCTCCTGTCTGTACTAGAAACTGTGTTTTTAGTTGATACCAAAAACATAATCCATCAGCTTGTTGTCTACTTGGTATAATACAAGTGAGAATACAATAATTCCTTAGGGAATTCTCACTACCAGAAATGAGAAAATTAATTTAGCCACTCATTCTATTTTAGTGTTGATCTTTGCCCATCACTTCATAGATAATATTAGCTATGTTTCAAAGTTGGATGTCAGTTTTGTTTCAATAGGACATGTTGAAAGTAACTTTATTCTGTATATCTTTTTCTCTTGATGTTGCATTGTGCAGGAGCTGAAAACTGGGAAAGTGATCGGGAGGGGGCATTCGATGACTTCTTCTGATGGACCTTGCTCTTCCAATTTGTTGTATCTATGTTCCTGCTAGCTAGTTGTTAGTTCAATTAAATGTGGGCGCTTTGGCCATATACTGTAGGTACCTCACATCAATAGATTGTTACTTGTGCTTTATACAAAATGAGATTGATAATATCCTGACGTGTCATATTCTTCCTTCTATAGTTTACAGACTCACCCCTACCCCTTTAAAATCTGATATTCCATTTTTGCTTTAAGCCTAATGGACTTCTTAATTGATGCACAATGGGTATTGAGCCCTTATAATTTGGGATTGAAGACAATGCTTCGTCTAGTCTGTTTTTCAGATGAGCTTTTCACTACATGATTATATGTGGAATCAAGTGTAATAATCTTTGCAAAATAATTAACGATATTAGCCATCATGATGATAGCTTATTCTCCACAAATAACATTTTGCATATAGCCTAGGCAATCAAAAGTTAACTCCTGATCAAAATTAAGAGAATCTAGATTATTACACTATTGGCAAATCTTGTGCAGGGACAAATAGAAAGGTCAAAAGTCTGGCTTGGTTCAGCTTTAGAACGGAAATTGTTGGGGGTGCTTCTGAAGAGGTCGAACAATCTCATTTTGCTGTAATTACTATTTCTTCTTAATATCATTCTGATACTACCCACCAAAATAGTGTGATATGTAGAAGCATACAGTGCCTTAAGGGACACATTGTCCATTTGCCGCCATCTTGCTGACTTTGTATGATGTGTCAAACATTCTGCTATCTGTTTGGGTTTTGGAATTAGGCATTAAGGATTTGATTTTGGTCCTTCCAAACTTATTTGTTCCTAGGTATATTGATTTCTAAAGAATAGAGTAGACAACTTGAATGATTCAGTAAGCCAAGTTTTTCTCCTGTTCCATCTAGTTTCTTGCTCTCTGATTTCTTCAATTCTCCACATAATATTTAAATGCCTTTGTAAATCTCTCTCCATGGAAGAAAAGATGTTATTCCCCCTCCCACACTAGTACCAGTGGAAGGCTCGCATAAAGCAGCATCGTCTGATTCCCTTTTCATCAGGTTCTCATCCTCCACTTCTTCTAGCTTTGGTAAGTCTTCGTTCTTTTTCATTGGTTTTGGTCTATTCTACTTAATAAACATTTATCTTTTAGTTTATATCCATCGTGCCTTGTTCTCTTCATTAAATTCTATGCTTGTGTTCCATATTCATCTACTTGGGTTGTTAAGTTGTCATGTTGGGAGAGAACTGTGGAAGGAAAGATCGAAATTTTAGAAGAATATATTCATGAGCATATATTTACCAAAATGTTTTAGACCTTGTTGGAGTCTAGGTTTCTGCAGCTGAGTGTTCAAATCAGATGGTACTTCTAATTTGTAAATCTCTAAGTTCATGGCATATGGATTCCATTGTCTGTGTGTCAACTATGGTGGTTTTGATTGCTGCAACTATCATGTCCAGGCAACTAATTTTTTAAAAGGCTAATGAGAAAATCGTAGTTGTGAATCGCGCTAAGCCCAGGTGTAGGTATCAAGAGATGCCTTGATCTACAAAGAAAAAACCCAAGCTGTATCTCCTTTGCTAGCAGTAACTCAAAGCCCACCAGTATTTTGCCCACAACTTACTTAGCTAAGAAAAAGGCGTACTTTGATGAATAAAGTAAGCTCAAGGATATACAGTCGAGTCTCTCTACAAGGAAATTTGAAGGCCAACGGATAAAGTATAGTTTGCTTAGACAGGAGCAATATATATATTGGTCTTGCCTCATAGATCATCAAATCTGCTTTAGTATCTGAACTGTAGAAGCCTTATCTGAACTGTAGAAGCCTTATGGGGTGAATGGTTTGAGAATAGTTCATCATTTTAGCGTTTGAATGTTTGAGGGAGTTGTCATTGAAGAATAGTTTCGAGTTGTATCGGATTCTTGTTGGAACATTTGGAGTTGTTGATACCTTATTCACAAGGAACAGTGAAGGATATTATTGACTAATAATCTGAAAATTTTTGTCCTTTAGATACATATATATATATATATATAAGCATTTTATTACCAAAAAGAAGAATATAAAGTAAGGCTCAATACATGAACTAAAAGAGCACACAAGGACACGGCCGAGTAAGCCAACCACCATACAAAGGCGATACATCCACGAAGTCTATAAAGAAAGCCACTCACAAGCCCGAGTGTCTAGGCAAAAAATTGAAGAAAAACACCCTTTCAAAACCTGAGAGGGGTTGGTTCAGAAGAAACTTGTCATTTCAAGTGCAAAGAAAGAGCTCACCCCTCATAACCTGAGAGGATAGGTAACCACAAACAACCCACAAGATATTGGCTGAACTGGAACATTGGTGCTACAAGGCAACTGATGAGGTAATGATGTTTTGATTCTTGTAATTTGGTAATTTTTCTTCCCTATTTTTTTTCCCCACACGAAATGGCCTTTGATAGGGCCGCGTGGAGAAGAAGGATTCATGTAGCCGACCCCATTTGATGGGACTTAAGGCTTGGTTTGGTTTGGTTTGGTTTGGTTTGGTTATTTTTTTCCCCACACCCCCTACTAAAGAAAAGGGATATTTTCAGTGTGCAGGTTCAGCTTGGGATGAGCTCAAGCATACATGAGAGGCTAATTTGCATCCCATGCTCGGAGTGCCCAAATGTTTCCAGCATTGTTTGTTGTGTCAATTACATTTAACAAAGGAATGTAAGTTTTCTGGAAATGTTTTTTTTGGAAAACTCTCCCTTTTTAATCATCCAAAAGTAATAATTTGTAAATGTGATACTGATTTTTCTGTTCCCTGATTCAGATCATACATCAGAACTTGATGAAATAAGTCATGACCTGTGTTCAGTAAGTGGACAACTTCTAAAATTGTAAACAAATCATTTATTAAAGCTACACATCTTCCTTTCTTCTGAAATGGGTCCAATTTTTAATCTTCCACAGGGTGCTTAGTATACAACAACTATCGAATCGGCATGACTATTGGGATGACAAGTGTAGAACACATAGCCTTTCTTCCAATGTAAGTATCTGTTGCTTCCTTTAGCTTGGCTGGGCTTTCAATCATTCTATTATCTAATAATTTTTAGTGTAACATTCCAAAATGTGCCTCTGGTTGGTGTTTCCAGAAGTGGATATGAGAAGTGGTTAAGGAGGCAACAATGTTGCCGATGATATATATTTCTCAAACTATGGTCAAACAACTTTGTCTCTCTTTTTATCCGGATGAAAATAGCTTAACATTTTCTACCACTGCAATCATGCATACCTCTTCCAACAGCCGTTGTGGATTTTTTTTTTTCCTTTCTTTTTTTTCATTTTAGATGTTGATGGGTTGACCATGTTAGGAATTGATACACAAAACTAAGATTGGTTGGTGTTCAGTACCTATTAAGATCGTAATATCCAATAGACCAGAACCTTAAAGAATGTTCGACTAGGATGACTTCTACTTTGTGATATTTTGATTGACAGGAATATCCAACATGAGGGTGTGCTAATGACTGAAGATTCAAATAACGCTGTAGGCAGTTCTTTTTTGCCGGATGATGATTTTAGGTTAGAGATGAGATTAAATCACATGATTGTGTATTTCTGCTGTTTTCTTTTTATTCATGTTCTGTGTTTCTGATTTCTCGTTCTCCAATCATTGTGGATTTCATTTTATTGCTTTTTAATTTTGGTATTTTGCTCATGGGAGAGGCTTTTCTCCAGTCCTCCAATCTAAGTATGTGGACCACCACAAGTCCTATTTTGATATTTGAGTTATACAACTTGGTCGGACTATTTTTATTTTAGAGGGGACAAGTTGCTAGTGAAACACTATTGCTCTAGTTACTTGATTTTTGCAGAACAACAATAACTTGAATATCTTTAAAGAGAATGAGAAATCAGTGCTTTCACCCCCATTTGAGTTGTGTTCATGTCTTTTCATATCTTGTAATTTTAACAATAATTTTTGTTATTTTTACCAACAATTCATCACAATGTTTTGCTCTTTGATTATTCAAGCAACCATTTTTGAATCCAAAGCTCATGTTAAAAAAAAAATAAAATCTCAAAGAATACCAACAACAAAAAAAAGAAAAGTAAACGATAGAAAAACAGATTTGACCGGAAAGGGAGATTTATTAATACCATTCAAGGTGAAGACTTGATTCTTTTCTCAATAAAATTTAAAAATAAAAAATAAAAGTTGAAGACTTGATTGAGGGGGCAAAGAAACTGAAATTAAGTAAATCAACCGGACTTGACATGGACCCATGGGGTCATCTAATGCCCAGCTGGGTCAACTCGTTTGATTCTTCATTGGCTTGAGTTTCAACTTTTTGTGAATCCTGATTGGGGGGGTCCACATATATTTGTTTATTAACCAGCATAAATGTAAATAAAAAGTCTTAACAAACCCATTTGTAAAATTTGTTGTTAGTGTTAACTAATTGATGCAATAAAAAATGAATTACATAATCAACCGGAAAAAATAATGCTCGTTATACAGATCAAAGGATGTAGGCTTCGCACTGAAGAAACTACTGTATTTGCATTTTTTCACTTGTATTTTTTGTAGTCAGTATAATTATTGATTTGATTGAACATTTTGGTAGTCGCATTACATATAAAAGGATTTTTTTTTCCTTTATTAAGGGGTGGTTTTGGATGATCTAAATAAGTGTACTTTTTATGAAATATGGGTTGGGTTTTAAGTGATCTGGTAGAAAGGTAATGTGATTTAAATAAGATAATGTGACTTAAATATGATAGTGACTTTTTAACTTTTTGACTTTTTTAAAGTATCCCAAACAACAAGGCCTAAATGTAATAATTTCATGGGAATGAATATAAAACTTCAAATAGTTTAATTGTATGTGTAATAATATCATTTTAACTTCTTTGCATAGTGTAACAAGCTTTATAATCAATCCGAGTCTCATTTGATTGCCAAGACTGAAGAGTATTAAAGAAATAATACTCAAAAATTAAAAAAAGAAAAAAGAAAAAAAAAAGAAACAATGAATTCAGAGATCTAACTTCTTGCATTTAGTAAGACAAAAGAAGAAGAAAAGAATCAAGAAATTTATAACATTGCGAGATTTCAACTTTTGAATTTTTAATACATTCATTAATCTTACCATAGAATAATGAACTTTCAAATTAATTTAAACCGTGACAAATACGCAGGCAATGAAGTGAAGAAGAATTTAATTAATTTGTAGCATCAATCTAGCTAGAAAACTAATCAAAGTAACTTAGGAGACCAATATATATATAATACTGTATCTATGTTAAATGTTAAGCAGTGCTGATGTAGTTGTGTCCATGTTTCAACCTTTTAGCTAATTGTCCTTAACTGTAAATCTAACCCTCTTCCTCTTCAATTTCTACGTAGACTTTGTCAAAATCAAACCCTAATTATTATTAAACTATACCTTAAAATGCATAGCATTAACGCGTACACCTCGAGACAAATCCAATACGATAACCAACTTCATTTACTTAATCCTCGATGTTTATTTTTTTGGTCTTAATCATCCTTTTCAACCACTTTGTGCCTTTTTGTCGATTGCTCCCACTGTTCAAGGAAAATTAATTAGAATTGTTATTAAATAATACGGATTATAATATTATTATTGTTACCCGTGCATGGAATGGGTAAGATTTTTTTTTTAAATGATGGAAGCTGAGATAACAAATTTTAAGAGGTGACAAGGAACATAGTAATGTAATGTATGAATACAAATCATGATTAGTAATTTAATTGTAGAAGCTGAGGTGGCTTTCAGGTGTGAAAGATATTAGCCTGATGCTGACCTGTCATATATATGTATGTATATCTTGGATAATATATATATATATTTAGAATAGAGATAAAAAGAGAAAATGGTATGTGATGTCTCAGTGCTGCCACTTTCCATGCATGTATATGTGGATTGCCCTACACAACAAGACTTCTATAACAATTGGGATTAAAACCTACTCTTATGAATAATTTATTATTTATGGCCTGCAAAAGAGAGAGAGAGAGATTATAATTGGGATGTTAGCAGGACCTGTAGCTTTTTTTATTTTGGAGTATCCAGATGAAGCAACCACAATGAGTCAAATGAGAGCTTGTTTGTTTTGTTCCCTATCTAAATCCAGTTCCTTTCTTTCTCAAAATGAAAAAAATTAAAAATTAAAAAAAAAAAGGTAGTTGTTAAGTTAAAAAACAATGTACTTTGGTTCCAATTGCCCATGTGAATATATGACTTTTAAATGATACCCACAAAACTTGCATTTATCAAGATCCAAGGCCATCAATGGTTGCAAACGAGCTCCAGCTAAGCTTTGTTTGAGCTAGGATTGTAAATGAGCCATATTGAGTTTTAATTTTATTTTTTTTTGGTTTCCCAAGGTATCTCCAGGCTTCGCCCAAGACTAATCCTTCAAGGTTTGCTGCATCCACAAGGGCTCGAACCCGAGACCACTTGCTTAAGTGACCAGAGGCCCTTCCATTCAAGCCAACCTTGGTTGATAGCCAAATTGAGTTTTAGAGTGTTTGAGCTTGGCACTGCTTGAGCTCCAATTGAGCTTGAATAATTAAGTTCAAGCTCAACTCAACCTTAATCATAGCTCAACTCAACTCAACTCGATAATTTAAACAAGTCAAGCTTAAATTTAAAAAGAAAAAAATAATTTTAAATTATATACCATGCGCATGAAAAGAGAGAAACTATGGATAAAATATAAAAAGACACATAATTAAGTTTCATCAATCACATATATAAATTTACATAAATACAAAGCATAAGTAAATATATATATTTAATATATTATTAAAAATGAAACTTGGTTTACATAAGGTTATGTTTGTGAGATTAATCAAGCCAAGCCAGGTTTTAATTATTAAACTACTCTAAAAATTTGACATAGACTTATTCATTTAATAATTGAATAGAACTTAAATTGTTCATAAACAACTTTGTTTGTTCACAATCAAATTTAAGTTTGAAGTTTTTCATTAATATTGTTGTTAATGTTTGCCAAGAGTAAGGGGAAGGTGTTTTTATATATTACATCGTCAATTACATGTCTATATGGCATTTTACTTTTTCATTGTTTATTAGTAGTGAGATAATATAGTTTTTTTATTTATTTATTTTTAATATACAAAATATGTAGCGTAAGAAACATATACAAACTGATTTTGATGCATCTGAGATCATTGCCTTGTTCATCATAAGTCGTCTTGCAAAATTTTCTGTGTCTACTAATTAAAATTGTAACCAAACAGACCTTAATCACAATCTCCAAGCAAATTAAATTATTAGTAAGTGACGCGTATACCTTGCTCTTGCTGTGATCACTGATCATGATATTGATTGTGGTGACACCAAGGATCTCCTATCTTAAATCACTCACAATTATTGGATCATATGAAAATCTCAATATTTGAGAATCTCAAGACATAGTCAATGATTGTGAGTGATTTGAGATAAGAATATTTAGAGACAGGAGATCCTTGGACGTACTACTGTGTTCCCCATTTCACATGTAATTAAAAAGCAATTAATAGGTTTAAAAGGAGACAAACATATAACTACAAAATTGCAACACTGTGTTCTCTTTCCTCTTCCCATGTTGGAAGGAAGGTTCCCACATCTTTCCTTATCAACATGAATTATGATGGCTAGTTGTGCTGAGATTAGAGTCTGCTTTCTCTGTTATGATTTTTGTTATAATAATTTTTATTATGTTTGTTTTATTTTATCACAACAAAATAAGTTATAATTCAATGATTCGAATTAAAATTGAATTACAATAACTTTAAGATCGTCCACCTTAAAACGAAGTAATTTTTTTGTTTTTTTTAAACATAAATTGTTGGATCACCACAACGAGATTATTGTAGAGAAATCTATTGTAGAGAATCTTGATCTGACTAATAATGCTAATAGTGCCAATAAATATGTCCAGTGAGAGAGAAAGCTTAAATATGAGCCACACCACTTGACATGAGATCACTTAAATATTGTGCCTAGTTGATAAATTTTTATTTTATTTTATTTTTTATCTATGTATATGTTTAAGACAATGTGCTAATTTTTGAAGAAGAAATGATATATTTTGCAGGTTATATGACTTGATGTATTTTGGCAACAAATGTTATGGGTATATAAAAACCTATGATATTTTAAAAAATAATAGAATCAATTTATGTAAAATGAAAAGTCACGTAAATAATAAAGAGTTCTAGTGAAATATTTACTAATATTTTCTGGTGATAATACCTTAAGATTGAACCATTTCGTTGGATACGATTTAAATAAGTTTACGAGTGTCCTTAGCATTGTTGTGTGGGTTGAGTAAAAAAAAGCCAAACCATGTGAAAGTTAAGAAGATTTAAGGTTGACGTGTGTAATAGATATGCCTATATTATATTATATTATATACATAAAATTGGAAGAGAGAGATGACAAAACGACCACGGTAACTAAGAAAATAAACCTAGATGAAAGCTACTAGAGATCGAATTTAAGTTATATGGGAGACATTTCAAAGAAAGAAAACATAGATTATATAAAAATTATATTTTTAATAGATAAAATTGTAATATACTCTTTGAAAGCGTGTGCTTTATACGGAGACTTTCAATCGCTAAATCTAAATAATTAAAACTAAGTTGATTGTATAATCTCCTTCTTAACCAACATTATTTATTGTCTCATAATTAAGATCACTTTATGTCATAATTAATCTCAGTTTACCAACCATACTTTGATTTAACTATCACCTTAAATCATAATCAATTATACGTTCATTTATAACCAAAATTACTTTGAATTATGACTACATATATTTGTTTGTAACATAAATTAATTAGAATTCTTTTTAAAAAAATGCTAAATGCATAGAAATAAACATAGAAAATATACTGTAATTGAAATTCATCATAAGTGCGGTGTTAACCATACTTAAGGTTCGATCTCATAATTAAGATCACTTTGTGTCATAATTAGTGCCATTTTGGGAACATGGTAAAAAGCCACGTTTTTGGACAAAATGTCCAAAAACGTGGCTGCCAAAAACGCCAAAAAAGCCATTTGGCAAGTGCTAAAAACGCAGCCTTAAAATTACAAATTAGGGCCTATGAAAAATAAATAAAAAAATAACTTTCTTATGTTGAGTAAGGGTATTTTGGTCATTTTAATTTGATTTGACACCATAAATAAATATTAAACTAAAAAGCAAAAAGCCAACTTTTTACCAACTTCCCAAATCACTTCCAAAAAAGCCAAAAATTTTGGTAAAAAGCCAAAAGCCAGCTTTTTACCAACTTCCCAAAACAACCCTTAATCTCAGTTTACCAACCATACTTTGATTTAACTATCACCTTAAATCATAATCAATTATGCGTTCATTTATAACCAAAATTACTTCGAATTATGACTACATATATTTGTTTGTAACATAAATTAATTAGAATTCTTTTTAAAAAAAATGCTAAATGCATAGAAATAAACATAGAAAATATACTGTAATTGAAATTCATCATAAGTGCGGTGTTAACCATACTTAAGGTTCTATTTGATTAGAAATAAATAAATAATAAAAAGTGAAAATAGTAGAAAGTGAAATAAAAGAAAAAATATATATATTTTCTTGTATGAATTTAATTAGGATGAAAATTTTATAAGAAAATAAGAACTCAAATTATAAGTATTATAACAAATTTAAACTTTTTTTTTGTATTTTTCTGTATTTTTTTGGAAGAAAGTATAAGCTTAGTTAACATACTATTATAAACTATACAAGAAAATTAACTTTCATCACTTTTATCCTAAACAAACTTCGAATTTATTTTATTTATTTATTTTTTTTTCCATTTCTTTCACTTTCTACCATTTTATTCTAACCAAACTGAGCCTTACAATATGTCTTCTGTACAATTTTGTGTTCTATTTATGTACTCTTGGCATTGTTTGTTTAAAAAATGATCCATTGGTAGCCGGCTAACAGAATGAATCTATCAACAAACTTCTAAGACCTTGTCTGGGTTGCCCCCCCTCCCCCACACCTTCACTACTGAAGTCACTATGACTATGCCTTTCTATGCCCTTTACTTGTCTCTTGTCTCTTGTCTCTTGTCTCTCTCTCTCTCTCTCTCTCTCTCTCCTTTCTTTTCATCTCTCCTTCTCCCTCACACCCCCCCAACCTTCTCTCTCTCTCTCTCTCTCTCTCTCTCTCTCAAGTTCTTAAGACCTTTGGCTTTGCCATGGAAGCCATTCAAGATCAAGAAGACTCAATGAATTCATCAAACAGTTGTGAAGAAGTTGATCAGCCAGAGCAAGACAATATTAACAACGATGTGGGCATTCGCCGGTCCTATGAGTGCGTGTTTTGCAAGCGAGGCTTCACCACCGCGCAAGCCTTAGGCGGTCACATGAACATCCATAGGAAAGATAGAGCTGCCAAAACTAGGCCACCTGCTTTGATTTCACATAAGCATCATCATCAAGAGATTTATGGAAATCCCATGATCTACCAGCAAATTTCAAGCTACCAACCGCGCTACTCTTATGTGCCTCGTGAGGAAGCACAGGTTGATTATCGAACATATATTCCAGCTTCAACATCGGCTGCAAGACCCTCATATGACTTCTATGATCAAAACCCACATCGCTTCAATCCATTTGGAGATGATTGGAGGATGAGTTTGAGCTTGCAATTTGGTCCAGTGCCAGAGGAAGAGAGGAATAGAGTTGTTGGAAGTGATGATCAAGAAGATGATGAATTAGATTTGGAGCTTAGGCTTGGAGGGCCACAATAATAATCCAGACAAGTACTTTATGCTAGACACACATATATGGTTTTTTTTATATATGATAAGTTCTTATTTTGGAGAGTTTGTAAAGCTATGTGTCGCTTACAAGCTTTCAATAGTACTTGTCCAAAAACACCATTTTACATGTTTCTTATAAAGTGGTAATTTTTGCATATAGGCCTATCTTTATAGGCAATTATATTTCAAAGGCGATGAATGAAGAAGTGTTGTATGGTTTGAAATTCAGCGAAGGAAGATCATATCCACCAGTGAATCATCTCTTTCCACCGGATTTTTGAGGTAGTTGTGTTCATGTTCTATCTTAATATATATTTAACCCTATTTTTGTTAGTGTTGTAAGAGATGTTCTTTCTTGGATTGTATTCCCTGCAATCTATTATATTTTTATTATTTAGTTGTGCAAATAGTACTTCTGCTTATGCTTAACTAAAATAAATTTGTTTACTATAGCATTGCTTTCATTTTTGGAAGCTGAATTTCTCTTATGGTAACCAAATTCCATGCCATTGGTTTGAAGAATTGCCTGAACTAGCAGCAGGTTCTCTGTCAAAAACCCTAGCTTTCAGAAAAAGGATTGGAGGAAAGTACAATTCAAGAAAATCAAGACAAACCCAAAAAAAACATTCTTTCCCACAGTTCTTTTTGTAAAAATTATCATTAAAGTTTGATTAGGTTAATAGGTGGTTTTTATCAGAGAAAAATTATGATGTTCTAGCTTTGGATTACTAAGCAGCACAACTCCATATATAACAAACATGGCTTGTAGGGAAGAACACGATGCAACCGGTTGTTGATCCAATTATCAAATGTGGTAATCGTTTATGCACGTATTAATTTGGTGGCATTTAAAGGAAATGGGAGTGGATTGTTATTTAATTAATTATTTCAGCTTCAAACTATATTTCAGATAACAATATTGGCTCTTATGGGAGTAATTATACTATACTGGTACATAAATTTGAAGGAAACCCTATTGATTCTATACTGCAGGGGTCAAAAGATTAGATGATAACATTGGGGGCTCTGGTTCTAGTTTGGGTTGTAATTGAGGAATACTTCTAGAGTGATTGGATTGCTTTGTACCATATTAGGATCACACATTGTTCTATTATATGGATGGACCTAACCTAGGAGCCAAAACTGTTTTGATTTAATACTCAATATTAAATGGGAGAACATCCAAGTTTCTTATATTTCTCTTTTTCTTTTTTTCTTTCTGGTTGTTACTTGTTTTAAACACTCAGACCATATTACTTGAGTTACTCTCAAAAGTAATATAACATGAGCATGAGCATGAGAACCATATATAGTTTCTTTGGTAAGATAATAAGAAACAAACTGAACACTTGAGTTTTGGCTAGACAGCCATATGTGCCGTTTGTATTCGATTTTGTATGCCCAAAAAAAAAAAAAGAAAAAAGAGAAGAAACCAATGCAAGCAAGTTTTTGCAAAGATATTTATTCACATTCAGCTTGGTTATGTACAATTTGTTGGATCTCTTATGCTGTGTTTGGTTGGGAGATTTGAAAAAAAAAAAAAAAAAGGAAAAGGTGTATGAAACTAGGTGAAATGTAATTGCACCTACCTTTTCCCTTTCTCTTTCCAAATTTATTCCCAAATGCCCCAACCAAACGCAGCGTTATCTTGGTTAATAATCTTCTACTAATTCCTCATTTTAGTTCATAATTAGTTTCCTCAACTTATATTATACCCCATATCCTTCAAGAGAAAAATTTAGAACACAGTAATATATTTTGATCTTTTGAATTACTTTACCTGTTATTTATCTGTTATGAAGATTGCACTTTTACAATTTACAGGCAATATAATTTACGGGATGTTTGCTGCAATTTGGAAACAAAAGTAGCTAGCTAGGGTAGGCATATGTGTGATATAAGGATTAGATAAGACATTCATATTTGTCTTCGGATGCTTTAAGGTAGTGCAAGTGCATATATATGTTTCTATACAGCAACAGTCCTTTCCCTTCAATTGGAGGAACCAAAATTGCATGCACACCATGCTCATGAATCATGACGAGCTTCTCCAAAAATCAAAATGGGAACAATGAGATTGTTTTTTTTTTAATGAATAATCAGCACATATATACTTGTTGATTTGCTGTAATATTATGAGAATTCAAGTACAAAATTCCAAGTTTCCATTTTATTGCCACACGTACGTTGGGGCTGGTAATGGCATGTGTGTGTACTAGACAATTACATTGGCTCAATGCTAAAGATCTTTTAGCATATCGTTAGTTTGGAAAGCAACCTCGGTTTCATATAGGTTGTTTTGTATATATGAGTTGGCGAACGCAGAAATTTGGTGATGAGGGGCCAAACTATGGAGCAAGGATCCTCTAAAGTGATTTTTCCTTAAAGTTTCTTAGAGTGCTATATTGTGTGGTTGAGATTTACTGGCAAGTCACATCAATTTTTCTGATGTGACTTGCCAATAAATCTCAACCACACAATGTAGCACTCTAGGAAACTTTAGAAAAATTTCACTCTAGAGGATCCTTTGTGCAAACTATGGGTATAAACTACAAAATTTATTTCATTATTTTATCGCATTTTTACAAAAATTTTGTAGGTATGTTTGTGCTAAAATATTTACTTTTCCCGGCATAAATTTTGAGCATTATCATTAAATTTGCTATTAAAAAGTATCAAAACAAGATTATAAAATATTTTTACATATTATACAAAATATAAAGATAGTAACATATAAATGCTTTTTTCACATTGATCATAGTTATATTGACTCGTAACCAAGGTTCTGAAAAGCGGTTGCGGTCGCCGTAACGGTGGCGGTGGCGTGGTTGCGGTTGCAGTTGCGGTTGTGGGGTGTAAAGGCCATAGCGTAACGGTTGCGGTAATCGGAACTATGAATTTTTTTATTTTTCGCATAATTTAAAAAAAACTTACCGATACGCACATTTTTTTCCCATGATCATATTTATTAGGTTTTAAAATAAATATTGATCAACTTTTATAAATTTTTAAGTTTGATCCAATATATTTCATATTTTTAAATCACCATAAATTGAGTTTTTTAAATTTTATTTTAATAATTAATGACTTTATATTATACAAAAAATCAATCACTAACTATTATATATAAGATAAATAATGACAAAAGTAAGAGAATAAATAAAAGCCTAAATATATATATATATATATATATATTCCCAAATAGATAATGACTACATTCATTATTATTATTTTCAAACAATATATAGATAGACACACACAAACAAAATGGTTGAGTGATAGCAGCTGAATAGAATAACATAGGTCTTACAACCTCTTTTTCAAACTAAAGCTGTTTCATTAAAGAGGGAAAATCAAATCTCTCTATCTCTATTCTCCCATTTTCACTTTTTTGTTTTTTTTTTTGTGTGTTTTTTCAAAAAAAGTAATTCGGAACCATACGTAACAATGCGTAACAGGCCGTTACGGCACCATTACGACCGCTATAGCAGCCGCTACGGCCGATACACCTGTGAATCTCAATCACACTACAAAAGCGACCGTAACGGGTGACAGTAACTACCACAACCGTTACGTAACGTAACGGCGTTATGTAACGGTTGCGGCCGCTTTTTAAAACATCACTCTAGCTAAAGGTTTCAAACAAAACTTTAGCCAAAAAAATAAAAAAGGACGACAGATACGTCTAGACTTTTCATTATACATATGACTTTGTGGTTACAGATTTACAAATAAATATAGCATATAGCATTTTTCAAATGGATGGCCCCCTAGCCACCGATTGTGTCCGTCAATTATGAAGCAAACCTTGACTTGGCCTTTAACTACAGCTGTGTGCAACACATTATCCAGGATAGGCTCAGACAGATGTGTTTATTTTCGCCTGCATTGCAATGGTTTATTTAAATTCATCAACTGTTTTGCCGTGTCGGATCTTTTTGGATGTGACTAGCAGTTTTTTGTTTTGTTTTTTTCTTCTTAGAAAGTTAAAGTCATATAGGAAAGATCTTGTATAAGTTGTGTATTTAAATAAAAATGAATAGATTTACATTGAATAATCATTTTAAATTTCAGAATAACAACATTTTGAAATTTACAGAAATTCATCATAAAATAAAACGAGTAAAAGAAAGTAAATCGAAACCCGTGTGATACCACAGTGTCCTTAAACAGATTAGCCGCCTCACCGTAGGTGCTGAGGAACGTCAACTTCTGTCTCCTAGGATACGACGGTTTAGACCGGCTAACACAAAAGCTCCTTCTGTTAGCTTTGGCGAACTGACAATGGCAACACTCTCTCACACAGGAAGAAAATTATAGGAGGAGACTGACTTGACTATAATCTGAAAGCAAAATTTCTCTGTTGAACCCAAGGGAGATGGGCCTCCTTTTATACACAATGAAGGAGAGAGGAGAAACCTTACGGCCATAAAGGCTGGCAACTAATGCCCATGAAGGCTAGCAACCAATACACATTACTCTTGGAGTAATGGACCAATTGATGGAGATTCAATGTGTGAGTTACACACACTATAATATACATATCTGTAGATATATCTGTAGAAGACCTAGCCCAAAAAGATTAGGTTGGTGGACCACCAATCTGGCCCAGCCCAAACCTAACTCAAGCCTCAAGACCAAACCCAAGCCTAAGATCCAAGATCCAAGATCTACGGATCACGGACCCGAACCTGGCCTAGTCCAGGCTCGTGCGCGCGTGTGGTAATTTTTCCATAAGCAACTTGGACCATAGTCTTGGTCCAAGCTCATTTTTGAAGTATCCATAACTCCTTTCTTTCGAAAAATTTAGATACCCCAAAGAGCTCATGCCCTTCTCATAATCTTGAGATTTAAATACCCATCAAAGTTTTCCTCTACAATCAATGTGGAATTGGTAGTTATATACAATTCTCAATACCTCATTCATGAGACCATCTTTATGAGGCAATTTCTCATTCCATTCTCAATGGTTTTTTGTCATTCTTTTT